AGATGGTGGAGCACTGGGATGGGATGGTGGAGCACTGGGATGGGATGATGGAGCACTGGGATGGGATGGTGGAGCACTGAGATGGGATGATGGAGCACTGGGATGGGATAGATGAGTGCTATGGTGGGGCAGTGGAACACCATGGTGTGTTGGTGGAATATTCTGATGGAACGGTAGAGCACTCTAATTGGGCCTGTAAAGCATTGTGAAGAAAATAGGCATTTTATAGAGGAATGGAGGACTGTAATGGGGGCAGGGGGGGTCAGTGGAGGAATGTTACAACTCTCAAGTATTGTTTAGAGATACTGCAATGTTTTGATTTTTAAAAGTGTTTACCAAAAATTATTAAGAATTCTATGAAAAAGATATTGTTTTCAGCTCGGCATTTTGGTATACATGTATAATCTCAGCACTCAGAGAAATCTGAGACAGAAGGAACATGAGAACATGGCCCAGCTGGCTCGGAGAGTGAGTTTGAGGCCTGTCTGTGCAATGGTAATATTCTATCTTAAAATGAATTTTAAAAGGAGGGAGGGCTTCCACATAGCTCAGTGGTACCACTCCTGCCGTGAATGCCCAATAACTCTGGGTTCAACACCCAGTGCAATAGAAATAAACAAATGACCTCTTTTTAGTGTATAAATTAAGCATTTTAAATTTTTAATTAAAGAAAAAGTATGACACCCAAGTGCCAGTGTTGGACTCTGGAATGCAAACAAGGCATTAATTGAACATTACCTTCTGCCACACCCAAACTGGCAAGTGCTATGTCAAGCTTCCTGGGCCCTCGGGAGAGTGAGCTATATCCAGTGAGGAATCTTTTCTCATTGTTCAGGACCGACCCTGACTCATATCTCACAGGCCACGAGAGCTGCAGTTGCTCCACCATTAGTTTCAGTCTCGGCTGTGAAACACCTTTTTTTCTGCATACTAAACACAGTCTTGATAGACAGGGGTCCGGGCACCTGTCCTTGGGTGCTCAATGCCCCTTTTCTAGCTCTCGTCATTAAAACCCACACCACAGTGGCAGCTCCAGTTGTGTTGTTGTGAGCAGGAGTCAGAGAGCCAGTTAGGCTCAGTTCCTGTGCTTCCAGCTTGGGTCTCCATCCACCAACACACGTTCTCCATGGAAACGCTCCAGCCCCTTCTGGAATCTCTCAAATCTCCTTGCTTAACAGTAATCAAAGGACAATCCCACCAAGTCAATCAATGAAAAAGCTCTCATTAACAGCCTTTCCCAAAGTTAAAAGGTCTCTAACAAGGAGCCATTAAAGACAGACATTCAAAGTTGTGTTTCCCTGGGCTGTTCGCTAAATTAGACTAACTGTTTAGCTTGAGGGAAAAGGGCAGCATGTCCTCACCCAGAGCATGCAAAAGGTCAACACATTCATCCCTCTGGGAGCCTCACACCAGGGCCAGGGAGATGCAGGGTATGAGTTTCTGGGAGTGAGATGCGGCACCTCATTTGTGTTTCCTGTTTTGTAGTCACGCCGCCTGAGTTCTAACTAAGCTATTTCTGCTATTTGCTGTACTCGTTGAGGGACAGAACATTGAAAGCGTTTAAAATCAACTGCCCTGCAATTTTCCAAGTCATGATGGTTTCCCACGGGCTGAGGAGAAAGAGATTTTTTAGGCTGGAACAAGGAGCAGGGAGAGAGGGGGAGGGGGGAGGCAGAGAGGGAGAGGGAGAGGCGAGGGGAGGGAGAGAGAAGGGAGGAACTGGCTAAGGAACAAAGTCAAGGGGTTGGTGTAGAAGGAGGGTGTATTTTCATCAAGTAGTCTCTCTCTCTCTCTCTCTCTCTCTCTCTCTCTCTCTCTCTCTCTCTCTCTCTTCCCCCTCCTCTCTCCTCTCCCTCTCTCTCTCTCTCTCTCTCTCCTCTCTCTCTCTCTCTTGCTCCTCTCTCTCTCTCTCTCTCTCTCTCTCTGTTTCTCTCTCCCCCCCACTCTCTCTTTCTCTCTCTCTTTCATCTCTAACCTGTGTTTTGTAGTTCTCTACTAACTAGGTAGCAAGGTAATATGGAAGATTAGCAAGTTTAATTTAGGATCCCACTGTGCCATAAAACCTATTAAATGTTGTCCAATTCTGTGTAGAGACTCCCACCAGAGAGGCTCTGGGGTTAGGAAGGCTGGAGGTCAACAGAGCTAACCCATTACCAAGGACAGCCTATATTTCCTCCTTTTTTATGAGAAATACACACTTTAAACATTTGAAATATTTATATAATGGGGCTGAGGAGCCACACGGTGTGGAGAGGGCTGTTTGTTGTTTGTTTTCTGGTAGCAATGAAAATTAAACCTAGCCGGGCAGTGGTGGCGCACGCCTTTAATCCCAGCACTTGGGAGGCAGAGGCAGGCGGATTTCTGAGTTCAAGGCCAGCCTGGTCTACAGAGTGAGTTCCAGGACAGCCAGGGCTACACAGAGAGATCCTATCTCAAAAAAACAAAAACAAAAAAAAAAAAAAGAAAGAAAGAAAATTAAACCTAGGGCCTTCTGCATGCTAAGTAAGCACTCTACCACTGAGTCCCAGCCCTGAGAATAGTATTTCTGAATGTTCTCTCCATATTAAGAAAAGGTAGTCACACAAGGTCCTGATCATGCTATTCCTATGAGCCAATCATTATTTTTCTTTTAAAGAAGTAAGGCAATAGTTGTAGCTACTTTGTGTTTAAACAGTTAAGAACTGGTTAAAACTCCATACATTTTCAAGTAAATTTTGCTCCCTAACAATGTTTTGATATTTAAAGAAAGTCTTTTTCCGGATGTTCTTTGGTGGATAGAGGGCTGGCCTACTACACCAAAGGCCATGAATTTGATCCCCAGCCCCATCTAGAATGGGTGGTGGGCTTGGCACACAGGTCTGTAATCTCAGACATTCCAGAGGGTGGAGGGTAGTGGGCGACTTCATGCTTAGCCTCTGCCTCAGCCAGCCCAGGATCACTCAGGATAAATCTCACCCCCACCTCCAAAAATGTCCTAGGTATGTCTCTATGCATATCCTCAGCATATCTGAACTCTGATGAGAAGCTATGAAAAGCTTAGTGGTTAGGAGCTGCCTTGAATGATTCTCTTTGGAAATAAGATACAAACTTTAGAATCGACAAAGTGTTTTGTCAAACTCTTCTGATCGGTAAACTTTGTTTATTATTTTTGGTGCTGGAGAGTGGACCAGGAGGCCTCTTATATTCCAGCATGTCCTCTGAAACTGAGGTACACCTCTGAGAGCATAGAACATACAAAATAGAAATAAAAATATTTTCTAAATTGAATTGCTGCTGGCTTGAAAAGACTGTGAGACTTGGGGAAATGGTGGGTTTTCTGAGCCAGTGGGTGTTTGTTAGTTTCTTTGTTTCCTTGTTCATTTGTCTGGAAGACTGAACCCAGGACCTCATCCTGGCTGGTACCCATTCCTCCATGACTCCTTAGTCCCCCTAAAAGGAGGCTCTTGATTCCATGATCCCCTGCCTCTGAAAGAATGTTTGGCTGGGAAAGATAGGATCATGTTTTCTTACTCACGATGGAGGCATCTCCTCTGCTGTAATTACACAAAAAGGGCCATTTCACAGCAAGCTCTGCCTCCTTAAGGGCAGCTATGGAAAACATCCCGGCGTTTCTACAGTAGGTATGGAATCCTGGCTCTTCACTCTAGTGTGAAAGGAATTCAATGACCTGGCAGAAAATGGCCGGCTAAGGGAAGCCAAAAGTTCGTCACAACACTGAGACCCACCATGAAGCACGCAGCTGCAGAAACAGAAGCCCATATGTGTGTAATTGGGTTGGCTATGCCTTAACAGCTTAATCGGATGTTGCTCATTTCACACGCTCAGCCGCCCTCGCCCTAAATAAATAGGACTCAACCCAGTTACTCACCAAGACCCCCTTGGCGGATGTCTGTGCGTGTGGCTCCACCAACGATAAACTGAGCATTGGGACACAATTCCTGAAAGTAGTATAGAAGAAAACACAAGTCAGAAGCTGCTGTTTAATGGTGGAGGCAGCACAGGTTAGAACATCAGCACATAACTCAGACCTGGAAGAAGCCGGTAGGTTGTCTACCACCACATATACATGACTCTACTCCTGGAGATCGTTAAGATTAGAAAAGGGAGGACACAAGAGATACACAGCTACCAGTTCACAGGCCAAAAGCTGGAATGCAAAGCCCCTGTAATGAGCAGGGTTTTGATTACTCTGCAGGCTGGGTGTGTGGGTGTGTGCTATGGGGGTGTAACTAGTCTGAAGGGTGTGTTGTTGGAGGAGAAAGGCAAAGGCTGAGATATTAATACCCTGCCCATTTAGACAACAGCCCTCTTTACACAGAGGCCCAATTAGAGGGTTGTTTGCCAAAAAGCAATGCACACTGTGGACACCCATTAAACAGGTGACTAGGAAGCAGGAATCTTGTAGCTGATGGAATCATGATGGTATGGGGAGGAAGTCGGGGATGAGATGTCAGGGAGTACTATTTCCAGACAGTAGAACTCAGATGTGATACGGTCATTCACCAGCCTCCACTTGGCATCTGCTCACTGGTGAGGTCACCTAGACTAGGGGAGAGGTACCAGGAGGCTTGCTTTCAGCATTTTTATTTTGTTTACCCCGGAAGGATCTACTGGGCCCCATTCTGGATATTATGTTATCACAGCAGCCAAGGGAGAGGGAAGGGTGGTTTACTGAAGAGAACAAAGGTAAAAAAAACACTGGCCTGAAAGTACTTTTGGTTTGTGCAGGCAAATCAAGCTAACGTTATTGGAAAACAGAGTAAAAGACGAGCACATATTAAAAGTCCAGCGGGAATTCTAGCTGACCAGCCAGCCCCATGTAAGCAACGTCTGTCTACTAGACCGACGGGCTCTAATGCAGTCTGCAGAGGGGTGTCCAAAGAAGACAGTCAGACAGGACACAAGACAGATTGTCAAGGAGAAAGGGTAGGACCTCAAGGGCCCAAAGGGAACTTGAACTACATTTACTAAAAGGCATTAAATCAGTGGGTTGCACCACAGAGGGGCTGGTGAGAGCTACAGGGTGAGAAGCATTGCTTACTCCAGAGCCATGAAGAAATGATATGTCTGGCCTGACAAGGAGGCAAGAGAGTGAGCTGAGCAAAAAGGGTGGGGCCCACGTAGAGGTGTGAACAGGGCTTCTGAGCTCCTACAGTAGGAGATGGAACTTTCTGGAAGGCAGTCCTTCAGTCTATATGAACCTGTCAGCTCCTGCCTTTATGCCCAGAAGCAGCCCCTCTCCCCTAGCACCTCACTCTTTGACCCAAGACTCAAGTGTTACTTTTTATTTACATTTTTTTATTAAGAAAGTAACTGTTACTGATACAAAATTCCAACAGTAGGGTAAAACCCTTTAAGATTTCTAACACATCCTTCCAAAAACTGTCTTTAATATAATGGCACATTTTCATGTGTGTCTGTGTGTATCTTAGTCAACTTTTCTATTACTATAACAATGTAGCCAGGGTAATCAGCTTACAAAGAAGAAAAGTTGTCAGGTGTGGTAGTACATATCCATAATCCCAGCACTTGGAAGAATGAAGCAAGATCATTATTTAGAGGCTATATTGAAAATTCTGTTTAGAGAAGCAGAGGAAGAAGACAGAAGTGGAGGAGGAGGAAGAAAAGGAAGAGGAGGAGAAAGAGGAAGGAAAATCTCATTTGGGCTCACATCTTTGGAGGTTCAGTTTATGATTGGTTCCATTGTTTGGGGGTCTGTGCTGAGGCAGGCAGCAGTGTAAGAATGTGAGGCAAACAGGGCCTGATCACCTCATGACTTCGAGGAAGGAGAGAGCAAGGGAGAGAAGAGCCGGGCTCCTAATTCCCCCTTCAGAGAAACACTCTCAGTGACTTCGAGTCCCATCTCACCACATGTCCCAGTCATCCCAAGGTGAGCCCTCTGGGAAAGACAAGTGCAAACTATAGCCCCAACCCCCTCTGTGTGTGTGTGTGTGTGTGTGTGTGTGTGTGTGTGCATTTGAGTCAGTGTGATCATAGGTGCCTTTTACATCTTTTATTAGAACAAAAAGAATTTTAAAGTTCCATTAAAAGTACCATGAATCATTCAGCCAGCCCTCCAGTGAGGGAGATTTAATTTTTGTTCTATTTTGTTTTAATCATCTGCAGTCTCTGGTGGCAAATGAAAGAAGGGCATGATGGGCCAGAGAGATGGCTCAGCAGGTACAGGTAACTGCCATCAAGTCTGACAGACAACCTGAATTCAATTCCTGAGGACTCATTTTGAGGAAGGAGAGAACCTCCCTTTGCCTTCACACATGATGGGACATTGGTACACATACACCACATATGCACACAATACACACATACCATATATACAGCACATACACACACTACACACACTACACACTATACAACATAACACACATACAGCATACATACACATCATATACGTACACCACATGCCACAATACATGCAACACACACCACACCACACACACTACACACCACACACACACATACATCTCATATACTACACACACACATGCCACAGCATACTCACATACCACATATACATACTAAACATAATACTCATACATACACCACACACAACACACATACTACATCACACCCCCACACACCACACACATACCACACACACACCAGACACAGCACATACACACCACCTACCACACAACGCACACATCATATATACCACGTACACACAGCACATACATACCATAGATATACACACAGCATGCACCCCACACACTTGTAACACAGAAAATATATAAACACACACACACACACACTCTTCATTAAATATAAAAGTTGTAGCTACAGCACTGCGCTCAGGTGCTCAAGAACTCTCATCCTCCGGATCATTATTTCCTGACAACTAAAAGGTGGGGGAGTTTGAAAACACTAGCTAAAAAGTAGCAGATTGGAAAATCTTCCCATTTAAATGTTGCTTGTATAAAGAAGGAAGTAACTTCGAGACAGAAGGGAAGAAAGCACGTTGAGTGGGGGTTTCAAAGAGTCTCTTTCCGCCAGGCGGTAGTGGCGCACACCTTTAATCCCAGCACTTGGGAGGCAGAGGCAGGTGGATTTCTGAGTTCGAGAGTTCGAGGCTAGCCTGGTCTACAGAGTGAGTTCCAGGACAGCCAGGGCTACACAGAGAAACCCTGTCTCGAAAAACCAAAAAAAAAAAAAAGAGTCTCTTTCCTTAAACAATTCTTTTTTAAAGATCTCCACCTACTGTAATTCTGCTAACATAGTACCAAACTGCCCTCTAAATGTGTATCTCTATACCACGGATTCTCAGAGTGTGGCGGTGGTTCAAGATGCAGAAACTAAGTGTCACTGAAGTGCTCAGCCACAAACGGGACAACCGTGTCACACTTCCTTGTCTCAGGACATGGGGGCCATCTCAGAAGAGGGGTCAGAAGACTGTGTGAGTCAGAGGTTGGGGTGACCAGAGCAAAGCTGTGTCTTCTAGACAGGTCTAGAGCCTCGGGGACTCATGAAGCAGGGACAGGGTGGGAAGGTGGAGCACGGGGTCTGGAAACAGTTACAGGGATGGGGTCGGGGTGAATATGATCACCAGCCATTGTGAGCATATCTAACATTCTTGAATAATTAATAAAAGTACTTTTTAATTCATTCATCCATCACTCCCATGAAATCTACCTTCTTCACAGCTCCACAAAACTGATCTTGTAGGTCACCAGGAACCCCAGAATGAGCATTTTGAGACCCATCTCACTGGGTGCTCCTTAACTTTTGCTACCATTGGCTTGCTCTCCCTCTAAAAGCCTTCCTCTGTGGCATGTGTCTTCATTAGCTCTCGAGTTTAACGTCTCTCAATCCACTGCCTCAGTTTCCCCCATGGACTCCTGTTTTCTTGCTATAGGAACCCAGGAACCCTGGACTTGGTCCTTGGCCTCTGTTCTGGCCCCATTTCATACTTCATTTCATGTCCTCATGAACAAGGGAAATCCGTCAAACTCAACTACTAACCATAGAGGACGCTGTTGCTTCTAAAGTGACTCTCTGCCCTGTCTGCTCAGTTCTACCACACTGTTCATGTGACAGAAGCTAAGGACGGTCACATCCAGTGTCTGCAGCTACAATCTTAAGTTTGAGTAAGGAGAAAGAATGCTGGTAAAGCCTACAGTTTAAATGCTACCTGTTTGTAAGTAGGTAGACAATTAGTCTTCATGTGTGTGTGATATTCACTAATTACAACGCAAAAGTCCCTATTCAGAAAAAAAAAAAAATCATGACCAGTAACTTACATGGATCCTTCAAGGGTCACAGAAAGTCCTCAGCCCCACAACTCACAGGGAGATAAGACCTGGTCCACTGAATGTTTCTAGCTTCACCCGTTGCCCACCATGTTTCATCTTCTCCAAGGATCCTGGACTACTGCCTTCCCTGAACACCACGGCTTGCATGTCCTTTCGCAGTCCAGACCTTCGCTCTCACCTATGACCTCTTTCTCCACCAATCCCAGCTCATCTCTCTTTCACAATTTTCCTGTTCAGCACAGTCAAGCTTCAGTGATTCTTCACTGAGCTCCCATGTGTGTTGTCCATTTAGTGCTTTACTCTCTGGACATTCTGTCATGTGATGCCATCCAGAGACAACTCATTTTCTAAGGATTTACATATTCTTTCATCCAGACTCTCTCATAATTCAAGGAAGTGTGTAAGACTGTGGTTCTCACTTCATGGATGAGAAAACTGGGTCTCAGAGAGGGTAGTCACTTATTCATAGTGACTAGTGGATGATAGATGAGGGGCCAGTACCTTGACTACTGTGTGACATCCAAGCCCACGTTCTTCTCCACCACAGTTCTCCCTCAGCTATCTGCCTGTTCTTTGCCCCCTCCTTAACTAGCTAAAGCTCCTCAAGACACCTCCCTGCATAGGACAAGTGCACCACAAACCATGGCTGAATTAGAAGCCCCAAAGCCACAAATCCAAGATGTAACAGCCAGAGAAAGAATGACTACTCCAAACTGAGCCCACCACCATCCATTAGCTTTCCAACAATTCGACCCTTCCATGTGTCTCCTAACTGGGGTCCTTATTATGTGCCTGGCATGGCTTCACTCTTGACTGTATTACTCCTTAAGATCAATGAGTTGCTTAATTGCCAAGGAGGGGAAAAGGATACTTCAGGCAGAAAAGAATATTGACCAGGCTGCACTAAGTCCATTCACACTGGGCATTACATACATCACAGAAGCTTAGAATGGACACTGAGCCCAGACAGTGAGACAAGGAACCAAGAGCACTGGAGATCAGTTCAACCAGCCGCTGTCTCTGGGGTAGAGTTGCTGCGCTTGCCCCACAGAAACAGAAAAGCCCTAAGGGGTTTCAATCTCCCAACAGAAAATTCATCTTGAGAACCCAAGTGCCATCTTGAAACCTTCATGTAGACAAACATGTCTTCCATTCCTTGAGACAAGAGCCTAGGTAGACCTTCTACTTAGAAGCATAAGAATAAGAAGCATCCATACTCCTCCTGAATGTAAATCCAAAAGAATCACAGTCAGCTACAGTAGTGACACTTGTGCATCCATGTTTATTGTAGCCCTAGTCACAATAGCCATGTTACCGAGTCAACCGGGTACCCATCCACAGACGAATGAATAAAAAAATGTATGCTTATGTAGGGAGTGCATGTGTGTATATACAGTAGAGAATTGTTTACTACAGAGAAGAACATCATGTCATTTGTAGGAAAATGAACAGAAGCAAAAAAATCATTTTGCATGAAGTGAGCCCAACTCACAAAGATAAATATTAAATATTTTCTCTCTTGTATGAAATTTGGGGAAGTATAGAAGTAAAGGGATCGCTATCAGGAAGTGGATGAGCAAATGAAGCAAACAGCTTGTTTCTCAGAATTACTAGATGAAAAAAAAAAAAAAAGGCAGCTCCCAAAGTAAAAGAAAGGTTTATCCTCAAAAGTATCAAGTCAAGCAAAGAAACCAAAAGCAAACAGAACCATTGAGAAATGGGCAGAGGGTTTAAACACTTATTTCTCTATAGGATACACCTGTGATGATTAAGCACAAAGATGAAAACATACAGCATCTATTATGGTCAGGGAAATGCAAATCAAGACCACAGCATGACCACACCCACCACCTTTAGGATGGCTTCCACCTCTCTGCTCTCCTCTCCAGACTTGGTGGAACCTTCTATGACCTTCAGTAACCCACGTCTCTCAGCAGTGATACTATCACAGTTTGCCCATAGCTGACTGTCTCTACCCTTGGTTTGTTCCCCTGTGAGCTGGCCTGGGGGCACTATGAAACCCTAAGTAGCATGTGTTCTGTGCTTCTTACACACAGGGCAATTACACCCTCATTTCTAGGTCTCGTAAGCACACTGAAATACAGTGGTTCCAGCCATACTATTTTTAGGGTGGAAAAACTGAATCTCAGAGAGATGTTGCCCAGGGCCACATCAGCGAGCCACTCATGAGATCTAACTTGTCGAGCTCTCAAGGCTGTGTATCTTCTTCCTTAGAAATAGTTTGAGAAAGTTAGATGGGGGTCAGAACTATGGGATCCAAAACACTTAACCCACCACTCTTACTTACTTCAACTCTCGACCAGATGTGACAACTCTTTACCCTGTGTGACACTCAACTGTGCCTTGCCATGGGCCACTTCCCCATTGCCTTACCGTTGGTCGCTTCCATATGATGCCTTGAGTTTCTGGGGAGCCTGGTCCAAGATCCTTGTAGCCCAAAGCTGATGGACATGCTGGAAATTCTGGGTCTTTAAATAGGACCCCTGAGTTCAAGCATTGCTTTCTCAGGGTCTCAAAGTCCTGGCCCAGATACTTCACAGCATTCTGGTTAGAGCCAAGACCCTCTGCCGCTGCACGTTGCTTGGATACTCCAGCTGCCAGGGCTGCCATGGCCTGGCTGTGAGTCCTGTAGGTAACAGGAAATCAGGGCTTCTGTGTCCTTTCAGACATCTGCCCTGTGGGGACGCTGCCTTATAAGGCAGCTCACAGGGAGGTGGAGCATGTAAACTTTCCACCTGAGGAAGGCCTTGTTCCAAAAGAGCATGAGTCATAAACAGGGTCAAATATGTACCCAAGGTGCAGATAACTCTGTTCCACCTTCTCCTGCTGTTAACAAACTATTCAGATGCCACAGTGGAGGCTATCAGAAGTCTCCAGAAGCTGGATAGGGCAGGGATGACTTCTCCTCCAGAGGCTCTACAAGGAGTGGCCCTTGCCCACAACTTGGTTTTAGTCCAGTGGAAATAACTTAGGTCTCTGGGTCTCCAGAACAGAAAGATTATAACCCTCTGCTCTTTTATCTTTAATGTGCATGGTGCTTTGCCTGCATGTGTATACCTGTGCACTAAATAACTGATCTGTCCTTAGAGGCCAGAAGAGGGTGCCAGAGTCCCCAGAGGGGAGTTGCAAACAGCTGGTAGCTTCCATGTGGGTATTAGGAATCAAACACAGGTCTTTGGAAGAACAGCCAGTGCTCTCTCAAACCCTGAGCCACCGCTCCATCTCCAACTTCTGCTCTTTTCAGTCACGTGTGTTCATTTGTTACAGAAGACACAGGCAACCAATATAGTGTGACAAAAATTCTCTGAACCACTTACCCCCAACACAGACTCCCTAGTAGCCTGCATTATTGACACCATCTCTGAGAGCATTCTGGGGGCTGTAGGACGCCTCAGTGGATAGAAGGCTTGCCACACAAGCAGGACAATCTACATTCAGAGGTAGAGATGAGAGGATAAGGTGTCTGAGATTACTGTGGGCTAAATAGTGAGTTCAAATCCAGCCTGGGTTACATGAGACCATGTCTCTAAAATGAAATAAAACAAAATGTAAAATAATTGTGATTCAGCAGTTCTGAGATAAGTCTCAAGAACCCACATCACAATCATTAGACCATTTACCCACAGATGACTCTAAAACAGGGGTTCACACTGGACTCTGAACCTGATAGCCTCTGATGCCTGCCAGTCTTCAAGCTGAAGGTAATTTGTGTGTTCAGCCCTGAGCTCAGTGCTTCTGAGTGAGCAGAAAACACATTTACCTCCCAAACATGAAAAAGACAAAAACAGGGTTTCCTGTGATTCATCAGAAATACAAGGTCAGCATGACCTTCGGGGGCTCAAGGCAGTTATCTGAAAGCTTTGGCTCCCCCATGCCTCGGGAGCTCCCTTTTACTCCCTCAGCACCTCTTTTCCTTCAAATCCACATTCACTCAGTGTTGGGCTCACTGAGGACTCACAGCTAAGTTTTCCCCATGCACAAGGCTGACCCACCAGAACCCTAGCTCCATCCCATACCCTGAAGTTGCCTGGAACACTAAAGATTCTAGAAGCTCTGCAGCCCTAATTTTTTTTGGGGGGGGGGGGTGTGATTTTTATTCCTGACTCTGTTGCCTGGTTATCTAAAATTTGTGCTGAGTCACAGGAACCAGTGGTCATTTTGAACATAGTTTTCTGACCATCAACAGCAAGCTAAGAAGAGCATGGACTAGTGGGAGCCCTAGCACACACAACGACACTGTTGACTTTGCCACCTGTCCCCATGTCTCTCCTTCCTCCATGTTCTTCTCTAGGAGCACTGCTTGCTGTTTAAGGGACGCTGTGTTTGTCCCACCTCAGGGCTTTGCATGTGCTGTGCCTGCCAAATTGAAATACTCTTCTCTGCCATCTGCTCATCCTTCAGACCTGTGCCCCAGGAAAGGTTTTCTGTAACCCCACTCTCAAATTTAGCCCCCCCCCTTCACGCTATCAGATGAGTAGCCAAGACCTTGCCCAGCTGGGACTCCTGCCATCAGTGAATTAAAGCCCCCTGTCCTGTCAGGCTTTGCGTCCCACAAGGACACTTATCCGGACCAGTTTTATTTGTCATTCAGTCTCTGGCTCCTAGGACACTCCCAGAAATACAGTAAATATTTGTTATATGAAGAAACAACCACATATCTAGATTTCCAGTAGGCAAATAGATAGAAGCAAGATATTACAGACCTGGCAACCTCATACAGGGTTACTAGTCAGATAATAAAGAACTCATGGGAGCATTTTTTCTTGTGTTTCTTCCCTATGCTTCCCAAAAGCATCCCCCTTCAGACTGAAAAAATGAGGAAGCCCTTCCTTCCTCTTCCAAGCACAGAAGCTGCACAGCTGGTAATTCTGCCTCCCCACGAGGGAGCTCATTTAGGGTTAGCCATCTATTCTTCCTTCCCACTCCCCTTTCCTAAATTGCCTCATTCCCAATCCAGATGCTATACCAAGAAGCCCTTCCTCATCAGGCAGGGCAGGCAGATCTGAGCCACTGCAAATAGAGCCTTCATTTGCCCAGTCACGAAAAAAAAAAATGGTGAATGCAGTGGGGAGGCCCTAGCTCAGCAGCCTCTCTCCAGCAGACATGTCGACCTGTTATCCAGCCAGGAACCAAGGAGGAAGCAACCTGTACACACAGTCTCTGTCCATCTGGACAGATGTCTTCCCAACTTCATGCCTGAGACAGCTGCAAGAGCCAAAGCCAGCTCCCTGCCAGGAAGCCTCGGGATCCATTACAGAGGCAAGGAGTCTGGCAGCGTCTACTTAATAAAAGCACCTCTTGGCAAATAGCCCAAGTGCATACCAGCCAAATGGGCCCCTGAATCTCACCTACAGACAAACCCTCCTCAACTACAGGGAGCCAGGCAGCAATGTCCCCTCAGCAAGAAAGACAGATCACCCTGGTTGCACCCAAGGGTCCAAGTGTGCTTCTCAGGCAACTAAAATTTGTAAAGCTTGTTGTCTTGTGTGCCTATAATGCTGGAAAAGAATGGGTAAAAGCTGGCGGGTTTGTCTCCTGAGCCTCCCATGTTCAGAAAGCTAAGCGAAGCAAGAGTTGGGACTTGGTGTCTAGAGTATTTTGGGGTTCTCTTACACGGCTGGGAAAAATCGAAAGCTGCACAGATGTTTTGGAAAACAGTCTGGTAGTTTTGCAAACTGCCAGACGTGGAGTTATATGGTAGCTCCCAGCAGCACTTCACAGTTAGAGAACAGAAAGTTCATTCAAGCCTTGTTCATGGATACTTGTACAATGAAGAGTTCCTCATGACAAAGGGGAAGAAACAAGCACACACCAATCAGTGGATGAGCAGACAAAAATGTAGTACATCCCGAGAACGGGAACGGAATAGTATTTAGTCATAAACATGAATGCAGAGCCTAGGTGTGATCTCACACACCTGGGAACTCAGCACTTGGGGGCAAAGTGAGAAAGATTGTGAGCTCAAGACTACCCCAGGGGACCCAGAAAGAGATGGGGGGTGGGGGAGAAGCTTACAGTACATCATTCATCTGACATGAGCAAGGCCCCAAATTCCATCCCTCAAGAGTGGAATACTGCTGCATGCACTGAGATTTTATGCAAATTAAATGAAGCTAATCACCAAAGACATGTCACTTTCCAAGTCACTGTAATGAAACATCTAACAATCGAGTTCCAAAGTTTTCATTATTATGGCAGGGAGGGTGTGACAGAGCTGAGCAACTCACATCATGGTAGTCCCAGAACAAGAATGGCTGACTTCTAGAAGGTTCTTCCCGTTTTCTGACCTCCAAGCCTTCTTAAACATGGGGCCATCTATATTCAAGGCAGGTTCCCCCACCCCCACCTCCTTAGTTAGCAGTCTCTGAAAATGCCTTCACACACCCAGAGTGGTTTATTCTTCTCTTAGGCGCTCTTCAATCCAGCCAAATTGACATCAAGATTAACCATCATGTCCAGTTACATGGGACTCTCAGACCTGGCGAAGCTGTAGAGAAGTGGCTGCCAGTAACTGGGAAGATGAGAGATTAGGACTGACTGCTACTTTTCTGTAGTGATGGTCTTAGCTAGGTGTGATGGCTGTACAACTAAAACTTGTCCTTTAAGCCGGGCAGTGGTGACGCAAGCCTTTAATCCCAGCACTTGGGAGGCAGAGGCAGGCGGATTTCTGAGTTAGAGGCCAGCCTGGTCTACAGAGTGAGTTCTAGGACAGCCAGGGCTACACAGAGAAACCCTGTCCCAAAAAAACAAAACAAACAAACAGATAAACAAAAATCGTCCTTTAAATGTATGGCTAAAGCCAGTGATGCTTGTGTTGTGTGCATTCTATCTCAACACAAAATCGAAACAGGTCTGAGTATTGTGACTCATGTCTGGAATGTCAGCACTCAGCAGCCAGAGGTACAGAGTGAATCTGATGCCAGACTAGATGTCATAATAATGAGGGTGGGGTTGTGGGAAGGACAGAAGGACAAAGGAGGGAGAGAGGTGGGGAGGGAGGCGGCCGGGAGGGCGCGCGGGCGGCCGGCCGGCAGCGCGCCAAATATTATGTAAGGCAAGCCTTGCAATAATGAGTGCAAGGCTGGCTTCCTATCAGCCCAGGACATCGAATGGCTCACTATGCTGTAGAGTACTGGGCTGTGTGCTGAACCTTCTCTAGCTACACCAAAGAAAAGAGAAAGCTGACCAAGTGACAGTACTGGGACATATCCCTCAGCAGGTCTGTGATCACTCATGTAATCTTAGTGTTATACCTCAGGCCCTCATCTCTGGCAAGAAGGGACTAAATCAAGCCCAGTCAGAAGGCTGGCTAAGATTGCCCTCCAGTGGCCAATGCAGGTCCAGTTGCACCAGCTTGGCTAAGAGAGGGCCATTAAACCCTTCAGTAGAATAAACTGGGTCTACACAGGGCTTTTACATTGAACAACTGATCAGATTCAGCACAAGCCCACAACCAGACTGCTCCAAGGTCATTTGAGTAGCAAATTCGAGGCCAAATCTTCTGATTAGAAATCTTGTTATCGTCTCACCACTAAACCTTCAGTTTCCAAGGCATCTGAATATCAAGACCAGATATAATGCACCATTCATGATAGTACCAGAAGGGCGGG